GTATATGGACCACATCATCTACTTACCAACAGGTGGACTGTGTACAAGTTTTTCGTTTGTTGTTACTCGTTCTCGTGTCAATGGCATCAGAAACATTCCAGTACGCCCATTGAACTCAACATCTCTTCTACAGTTAAATTCGGCGTTTCGTGTTATAGAAGAAACCACAAGTATAAAATCATTAACAAACATGTAGAAAATGAAAATATTGTTAAATGCGATTAAACTCATTGACTTTTATAATACTGCGGAAGAACTAGGGGGACCGCGCGTAAAAATGGCCAATGAAGTGGTCCTAAGACTACAATACTTAGTCTTTTTAAGCCAAAGTGAATTACTCGCGGGGTTTTCTGTGCTCGCGGGGTTGACAGTCGGGGGAGCTGTCATATTTTTTTAATTCCAAGTATTGTTGTGAAGCATAGAATATACTGGCGTAGAAGTCTATGGTCGTGAAGGGTTGCGCGTACTCTGACAAAAAGCACAGTTAAAATAATGACATCACATGTAAGTCAAGAAATATGTCAATAAATGAACTTGTTTACATTATTATAAAAAATTCTACATTATTTATTTTTCGACTTGTTTCCGTTCGGTAACAACAAAGTGAGCATAAATGTAAAATATATTATCGATAATACTCAGCTTGGCCAAATTATCATACATATAAATTTTGTGTTATTACTAAGATATATCTAATAATCTGTATTACTCACAATAAGACATAAATATATTTTCACTGAATTTTTTAGATACAGTATATTCTAGTAAAAATCTAGTATTGCTTCAAATGTGTCGTAAATTATTTTCCGATCACTTTTGTAAGGGGGTAAGAGACTGAATCTCCTTAATACAGGCTATTTCTTAGTCTAGCAAGGAGAACAGAACGTCACCCTCACTAGAATTTTTGTAATGTATCTCATGTAAGATTTTTTTATATGAACTACAAGTTAAAGTTTTTAATAAATTATTTATTTATTTTAATCACATATATTATCACAAAACTATAATATTATAAATATAAATACAATCTATATAAATAATATTATTATTTCGGTTATTATCCACCGCGGCGAGGAATTATAAGCCATCGGTGAAGTTAGGCATCCAAAGATAGGAACCTTCTTTCTATTCGAGCCGTATTTAATAAGGCCGATTTTTGAATTAATGCCTTCAGCCATTTGCCCAAACCTAACTTGGACAGATAATCGTCCATATTTTTACCAATAAGCCCATTGACTGATACAACTATTGATACAATAATAGTAGAATCAACGTCCCACATAGCCACAATCTCATGAGCCAGGTCGATATATTTTAATTTTTTTATCATTCTCTGCTTTTACGAGATTCTCGTCATGAGGAACACTGATATCCACTATTATTGCCTTGCGTGTAGTTCGGTCTATCACCACAATGTCAGGTTTATTTGCCACTATAAACCTGTCTGTGATAATTGACCGATCCCAGTACAGCGTGACACTTCTATTTTCAAGGACTGGCTTTGGTTCATACTTATAATATGGAACGTCCTGTTGAGTAAAGCCAAATTTAACGGCAAGCTGTTGGTGTATTATTCTAGCTACTTGGTTATGTCTGTGCAAATACTCAGCATTTGATAGTTGTGAACAACCGGAAATAACATGTCTGAGGGACTCTCCAGGGTGGTGACTTGCGCGACATACGTCAACTGTGCCGTCCCTCAGAATGTATCTCCGGTAGTTGTTCGTTTTAATTACTTCATCTTGTATTGCACAGATAAAACCTTCAGTTTCTGCAAAAAGGTCACCAAATTGTAACCAATGTACTAATGCAACCCTGTCTACACAAGGATTAGTCAATGCTTTAAAAAATCTACCATGCAGTTGTTTGTCATTCCAAACCTTTTTTGCGTTCATCTATAGTCATAGTATGATGCATCTGCCAGTCCTTTGCCGACATGTTAAGCGGGGTTAATGATTTGTCATTAATCACTACGTCATTATGAATGTGTGATGTGTCTTTTTTTAATAAAATAGTCTCTGAGGTTGTATTAAGTAGTATTATATAATAAGCCCCGTCCACCATCTTTTCTTGGAAGATACAACCTCATGACAGATGATCGTGGGTGGTGCATTCTGTGTGTAGTCATTAATGTACGGACTCGTCTATCTAAGTCATCCAATTCTGTTTGAGACCACCTTGTAACACCAAAAGTATATAGAAGGCTAGGTATTACCCAGGAGTTATATGCTCTAATTTTGTTTCCGCCGGATAAATGACTTTTGATAACTTTTTTTTAATCTTGACATAAATTTTACTTTTGAATTTTATTATTATTATCTGGGTATCTGTATAGTTTTCTCATCTGGTTGGTTTCTATAAATATATAATTATAAATTAAAATGAAAAGATAAATATCAATAAAATAAAACAAATACAAAAAATACACAAATAAATAAAGATCCAACCAGATGGAAGCCCTCGGTAGGGGAGACCAAACGGCCGAGGGTTAGGGGGAAAGGGAAAGAAACCGACGGACGATGCGGGCGGTATCGAGGACCACTGCCTTCTGCATTTGAGCCCGGAGCGGTCCGTCACGGAGTCCCAGTCGCCTCAGATGACCCGAGAGGCTGACTGGGATTAGCCCATTCGCAGAGACGACTACAGGAATAATTTCGGTCGGCCAACCACCCCACATGTCGGTCACCTCGTGAGCCAGGTCCAGATATTTTGTTCGCTTATCTGTTTCGGCTTTCACGAGGTTTTCGTCATACGGAATGGTAATGTCGACCAAAAATATCCTTGACTGTGCCCGGTCCATCAGCACATTAAATTTTATTATTATTATGGGTATTAACTTTATACTCACATCAGTTTGGGTCTATACCAGTAATATTTATATTGAGGGGGAATAAACATAAAACCGAAATATGGAAGACATCATCTAATTCTGTAATCAAAAAAATATTTTGATTTTTTATTGTAACATATAAATATTTTATTCATTAAATCGATAAGGAAACGTGTTCTGCTGACTTTGTGTTCACATGCACATGTATACTATGGACTGTGACAACTAACCTCTATATATACAAGTGTGTATATGTAGAGGTTAGTGGTTTCGACACTGTAGAACTATTTATTTTTAATATGATTTGTCTATGTACCTATTTTGTGTACCTACCAAAATAATAACAAAATGAAATAAATTATATTACTCAATTTAAGGTCATTTACTTGACTCTCCAGGAAATGACACTTTCCTTTTTTTTAACCCTTTCAGAAATTGACAACATTGTATTAAATATTTATTACCTATATTTTAAGTAATGGCAAAAATTTAAGAAAATTTAAGTTTTTTTAAGTTGTTATATATTATAAATTGTAATTTTTAGTGGTATGACAGTATTCTTCTTCATCAGCCCTGAGAAGTACACTCACTGTTGGACAGCGGTTCCTCTTGTTGTAGAGAGACCCATCAATTTTTGCAAGCAGATTTACGGTTACAGTACCATACTTCTTGCACCACTATAATCCGCTGATCGTTGTCGGTCTGCATATTTAACGTGTGACGTAAACGAGACGGTACACCGCTAGGACGCAATGGAGTGACGATGTCTTTTATGAAGTCACCACATGGAAAGTATTTTGCAATTTTGGCCAAAATGAATAGCACAAATGACACGTCGGACAAGATTAATACAATTTTTTTTATTGCGGTCTTATATTAGAAACTGGCGGTGGAGGTTAGAATAGGTGTAAACTGCATAAAAATGCTTCGATTTTAGCCTTGATAAAGAACGTATTATGAAAATTAAAACGAAGTAAGTATAGCAAAAGTCGGCGCTAAGGCATAGTGGATAGAATACTTTAAATGCGGAATTCAAAAGCCATTTTGTGATAATTATTTTATTCTTTTCAGTTCTTTAAAATCTGCCTTTAATTTTTATTAAAACTATCATTGTTGACACCCGTGATGTTAAGGAACTAAGGGGTTAGCCCCTTAGTTCTAGTTCTAGAAATATAATTCTTTCAAGCTTTATGTGTCCAAGTCAAAGCTGGATGTTTTTCTTGCCGATAAGTTCTGGCCTGACGGCATAACCTTTAGGAGTTTTACAAATGATAACTTTAAGTTAAAAAACAGCATTAATAGCACAATGAAGCAAACTATTACATAAGAATAGATAAACAAATTTATAAGACAACTAAATTAGCCTGTTTTAATTGCAAATCTGTGAAACGCTCAATTGATGCAGTTAAGTTTCTGTGTCAAAAAGTAGATATAGTTGCTCTCCAAGAAACGTGGTTGCTTCCCTATGATATCCCATACCTTGCCAAGATACACCAAGATTTTGAATACACAGGAAAATCAGCTGTGAACATATCAGAGGGCATACTCAAAGGACGACCGTATGGTGGTGTGGCGATTTTGTGGCGCAAAGGAGCTTTTGAGTCAGTCACAGTAATAAACTGTGCTAGTGTGCGGCTAGCAGCAATAAAAGTATCCCTCGGTGACAAATACTTTTTAGTGTTTTGTGTATATATGCCGACAGACGCGAGTGATAACCTAACAGAATTCACTGAATGTCTTAATGAGGTAAGCGCAATAGTCGAAAGTTGTGACGTGGAAGCGGTGTACGTCCTCGGTGATTTTAATGCTCATCCTGGTGAGTCTTTTGGACTTGAACTCTTAAAATTCTGTTCTGAACAGAATTGGATTTGTGCGGACATTGAAAAGTTAGGTATAGATTCTGGTAACTATACATTTATCAGTGATGCACATGGCTGTAGACGATGGCTTGACCATTGCATTGTCACACAAGCTGCTTGGGACACTATAACTAACATAAGAAAATTTTATGATGTATTCTGGTCTGATCATTGCCCCTTTATTGTTGAGTGCAGGTTAGACACTATTAAAACGATTAGAAGTTGCGATAAAATCATGTAACAAAATAATATGGGGCGAAAGGGTCAGTGATCGAATCGAAGTATATTATGATATGTGTAATAACAAATTAATGTCGCTTAAGGTGCCTGAGGAACTTAGCGTATGTTATAATTCACAATGTAACAATACCCATCATAGGTTAATGCTTGATGAAATGTACAATAATATTGTTACTATTTTATCTGAAGCCGCTATAAAGAGTTATGATGACCATAGATGTTATAAGCATAGTGGTCGTATTGTAGGTATAACAGAAGAAACAGTTTAAACAGAAGAAAGACTGCTCCAAAAACATCTATTTTATCACTTTTTATAAAAAATATCACATTCAACGCATTTATATTTCGAAATAATTTAAATGACAAATGAAACATGTGGAACACATTGGGTGCGTTTGGCAGAAAAAAGCGCTAGCAAGCGCTTGTAAGCAAAATGGCGATCGTAAGCGGTAAGCGCTGTCAAATCGTAAGTAGCTATTTTCCTCCAGGACACGATGTTAGTTTTAACCGGGGAACCTAACCTAATTTAAATATATGTTTGTAAAGTATTCATATTAAAAACTTACCATCATGAATTTTTAATAACATGTATATGTTTATTCACGTTATTGTATTACTTAAAACTAATATTGCACAAAACAACTTAAAAACTCTACTTCAAAACAAACAAATTAAATAAGCAAAATGGCGGATTGTGTCAGCGCTACTGAAGTAGTAATCGTGTCCTGGCCGAAAACCATTTCAGCGCTTTTAAGCGCTTGCTAGCGCTTTTTTCTGCCAAACGCACCCATTCTTAGTAAAATTGTTACTAAGTAACGAAAATAAGTCACCACGAAACGTATTAAAAAAACTACCTAAATCTTATTATTAGTTCGTTCCAAATATCGCCGCAAAACTTAAACAGCCCCTTTCTACGGTATTTAACTGTAAATATTCAATTATATTATATTTATTTTAATATAATATGTAAAGAACCTTGGTCTCTTTGTTGATGGTTGCTTAAAACATGGAACAAACAAATACAGGAGATGAGTCGCAAAACTACAGGAACTTTGCGATCTCTACATCGTTTCAACAACTTCCTTCCCACTAATACAAAGATTTTACTTGTCCAGTCACTTATTCTACCGAATTTTGACTATGTCGATATGTGTTGCTCAGACCTGTCTCAACATCTTCTTAATACATTGGATAGTCTGCTTAACAACTGCATCAGATACATTTGTAGTACTCGTAAATATGATATTCTTTTCTTTATCAGCAAAATTGGCTTTCTATTCGTCAGCACCGGTTTTAATTTATAAAAGTTTGGTCTGGATGTTTTTTTCATTTATTTTTAAACTCCCTCACTAAAATCTTAATGTAGTAACGTTTTTTTAAAAAAAGATATGTTAGGATACTCTGCACCCTTTTCACAATTCCGAACGATCCATATGCTCCAGAGTATCTGAAATCCAAATTTCAATTCCTGGCAGATTCAGACATTCGCACACAATATCTAGATACTCTGCACCATCATTCCAAATCCATATGCTCCAGAGTATCTGAAATCCAAATTTCAATTCCTGGCAGATTCTCATGACTGTTCTCTCCGTTCTTCGGCTAATGTTTAATTGCTCACTCCTTTATACCGTACTGCTTACTTATCTCACTCTTTCGCCCTCACGGCCATCAGACTTTGGAACGACATCTCTCTTGACATTAAAAAAAGCTCCCAGCAAGTTTGTTTTTAAAAATCAAGTCCGTTAGCATGTGAAAAAATAGTTGCGAGCTTGAATTAACACAGTTCTTATTTGCATACATATTTCTTATGTATTATGTACACACACACACATATATATATATATATATATATATATATATATATATATATATATATATATATATATATATATATAATTTAACCCTTTCTATTTTTATTATTGCTGCACCGCCTCTTATATGTCTATCTCTGTTTAGCCTAATGGTTGACTGGGAGAAAATGGCCTATAGCATTAAGTCCGCCATATGTACAACGTTGTATGTATAACGTACAACGCATAAATAAATAAATAAAAAACTTGCATTTCATTAAGGCCAAAATTGAATTTGCAGATGAAAACATTCTAGGAAAGCCGCTTTCCGAGGTAGACATTGGTTCGCCAGTGCGCAGGGGCGGGCGGCGCGCTTTCCCGTCCGTTTCCCGGCGCGCGAGTGACGGGCGGGGCGGGCGCGAGGGAGTGCCGGCCGCCGAGCAGCCGAGCACGTTACATGTGGTGAGTTAGTGAGACAGTGTCGCACGCGCCGGCCGCGGCCTCACATCGCTCGCCGCGCTCCGCCGCCTCCCGCTTTGCCGCACCACGCGTCCGCTGGGCGCGCCGCGCGGGCCGCGGGCCAGGCCCGCGCGCCTGCTGCTGCTGGCCGCGTGGCTGGCGGCCGCCGTCGCCCAGGACCCCGCCTGCCCGCGGGAGCCTCTCATCTGCACCTCCTGTCGCTCCTACGAGAACGCGCGCGAGCACAGCCTGCGCGTCATTCGCGAGAGCCTCCTCGCCAAGCTCGGCTTCACGCAAGCACCCAACACCACCGGCCGGGAGCTGCCTCGCGTGCCCGCCGACCTCATGGAGCGCTACGAGCGACACCCACCTCCTCCCGGCGTCCAGGCCGACGCGCCGGAGCCGGCCCGCACCTTCGTCACTCACACCGAGCAGGACGACTTCCTCGCCCGCACAGATAATGTCTTCGTTTTTGCCCGTTAGTATCCATATCTATCTCTTAGGAAGCACGCATAATCCGCCTGTTGATATCGGATAGTAGAGCCAGGTTCGATGCCCTTAGATACAAGTATAGTGATTAATCTGTGACTTGTTTCAATTACACCGTTGAATACCGAACGTGCATCAATGTTCAGGTTGCTGTAGCAATTTATTGTTTTCAATTTGCAAATTGCTTATTAAATAGATACTATTAAAAGTCGGTCAGAATTGTGAACTCTGTGAAGAATTCGGAACACTTAGTTAACGTCTAGGTTTTGCGTATAGAAAAGCCTCACGATTGGCAAGTTGTCGGCACCACGTGTGAGTGGCTATTCGCTGGGTATGATCCACAAAGTTCATTGACTGGCACGTGTGCAGCGCATAAGTGGGTAACGTACTCCGTGATCGCATCACGCACTGCCAATTTTAATTAGCTAATGATTACTTCAAAACGTGGTATCATTGTCTACGGGACTATGTTCAGATTTCCATCGTGATCGCAGCTGACACACAACGAATACTAATTTTACCGGATTGTATATAATAGTGTCAATATATTTTTCACGCTCAAATACTTTTGCGTTATTATATAAAATCATTTCTATTTAAATATTAGTTTTACTTATTAGAGCATCGAAATAGTTATTTTAATGAATATGTAAATAATTGATTTTATTATGCGAAAACGGGGCTATCTAAGTTCAGGCAAATATATGATCTGCCTAAAGCCAAGGGGCTTCGACCGCTCATGATAACGTCAATTTTAACATCGACGGCAATGCGCGAATAGAACAAAATAAGTGGGATATAAAAGTAATATCAAAAGCATTCTACATAGGAAAAAATTAAAATATTTACCGGAAAATAAAAACATATTAAGATATTTATTTGTTCCAGTTAATTATATATTATTTACAAATGTTTAATATGATAAGATAACATAATATCTTATTCTACGACTAATCGTTACAACCAAAAAAAAACTTTAAATTTACGTTTATACATTTTTATTTAGGCGATCATTTTATAGAAAGACTACAGTCATAATATGTACTCAGCACATGATTTTTTATCTAATTCGCAACGGGAGATTATAGTGTGATAATTCCAACAAACATAATATTGTGACCCATATGATTAATTTTATTAATAGCATATCAAAGACGATTGTATACAGTAGTTTATTTTATATATCGGTAATAAATGAAAGAAATAGGTTGAACTGGAGATATCGCAGCACTCTATCACATGTCAATAGAGTCCTATAACTGTTTATTTTAAGCGTAGCTATATAATAATGTAAGAGTTTCTTATATGATACACGTTTGGTTATTATTAAATTGAAGTCTTAATTTATTATCTTTATCAACAACGAATTGAAGATGAAGTTCATTTGCGAACATTGTGTGCTAATATTTTTGTGCAAGAATGACTCTACATTTTATATCATGTCTTTGGTCTAAATGTTATCGAGTATGTGTTTGTGTTTGTGTGTGTGTGTAGTGTGTGTGTGTGTGTGTGTGTGTGTGTGTGTGTGTGTGTGTGTGTGTGTGTTTGTGTGTATGTGTGTGTATTGATCTACAACTTTATTTAGTCTGTGTGAAGGGTGCGTGGCCGCTACCACAAGCCTTTTGTATCGATGAATAAAATTGTTTGATCAATTTTTATTTTAAGATAATTTTGAAAGGAAAGTGTTTGTTGTAATACAAGAAGCATAAAATAATAGCACACAATGTATTTTCAAGATATTATATTGTAATTTATTTACATGAGTATCTATTATGATTCACATAAAACCACCGATTTCTATGCGGTCTCGTCACAGAACACAAAAAAAATTTTGTGTTGTGTTAATTTTATCAAAGACTGTTTCTGAATATAATATAAGTATTCAGTAAAAATATAATAATGTCGGTAGTCTAGATTATTTTGACGCAAGTGATAAGAATAATCAAGAGACTGTCGTCATGCCGTGCCTTTACGTATGGATAGAATTATGTAGGCGTCTACCGTACCGACTCTCTGTCTGGAGTTTCTCCTCTTAAAACACTGGCCCTCACTTGTTTAGGGTTCCCACATTTCTTCAGTAAATTCAACGCAAAGTTACTATGAAATAAGTAAAGTGTACGAGCTGTGTTGACGATAAAATGCTGATAAATTTAATATTTAATAATTTATTTGCCTGAAATCATTTAAAAAAATATCTGATTGTGAGATAAACCTGCTCAACGTTACATCCTACAAGTTTCATGCATTTAACTAAACTATGACCAAAGCAAATTTAAGGACCTCGTGTACTACGTATATTTTTATCATATGTTATAAGTATTCTTATCACATTGTATACAACGAAAGTCCCTAATATTTAAAAAAAAACAATTCACGAAATGTTTATTTCTATTTTAAATAATCGAAAACTGATAAAAAAATTTTGTTAAAAAAACTAATAAAAAATAAAAGAATTGCTTGACCACAATCCATTAAGTGGTAATGAAGCTCTAGGTGGCCAAAAAGCCAATACACTCTTGCCTGTAAGGCGACCAGATTATGTTCGGTGATTCGGGCGTGAAGACAGACCACTTCACGCCAGATCATTCCACTCTTGCTGACTAGTATCGAGGTATCGAAATTTCGATACCTATAAGGATTTATGTTATAGATTATTGCAGATTATGTGTATTCTACATAAGGGAATAGGTTACCATTTGTAAAAATTTGTCATTCTCATTATATCATATATTTGTTTCATGTATGAATATATTTTAAGTCCTGATACAATTAGACACGCATCAACCCTAATGGACGAGCAAACGCACCAACTTTATATAACTGGGTGACACAATTCTTGACACATTCACATTACCTGATAATCTTGATGTATCTATTAGATAATATTCGTATTTTGATTGGTCGCGGAATTCATTATAAAAATATAGGAAAAAATATTTCTAATACAAAAGAACATCGTCTGAAGAATATCCAAAGAGGATTAGGCCTCCTGGGGACACCTCTATAAAAAAAGCGCACCTTGGTTCTTACCTCTGAGGTGGTGTGGAAATAGGACCAAGAAAAGTTTTCATATCTTTTTTTTCCTACTAGTAAACAATCAAACAATTTCACTAAAATTGCGAATAAACTCAAAAAGCATCAATAAAATCTATATGAACGACCGATATTCTCTCACAAAAGCGAGTTATTAAAATTACAACTTATGCTGTACTCACATCCTGCCATAACTAAATAATTCAATAATACTCAATTGGATTATCGCGCTGTTGCATCTCTTCATTACAATTATATTGAAATATATTGCTCGAATTTCAATTAGCTACCGTTTATTTTGCCATTTTGAGTTCTAAGACGGCACCATGATTATTATTAATGGCATCACTCAATTTATCATCGCTGTCTTTGTTCGTACATAAAATACGTTTCAAAAAAAAAAAACATCTGCGTAGGGCATATTATATTCCGTGCTTTTATTATTCTGTTCATAATTTCACTAAACTAACAAATGCATCACTGTTTTATGTAGATATACGCGTAGGTGCAAAAGTATCAGCGCGAATTACTTGTCATTTTTATAAATAACATTTTCTTATCGTGCGAAGCAAGGACGTGATGCTATTGCGCACATTCACAGCAGTTTTTTTATTTACATGCCTATCGCTAAAAGATGTGATGCTGTAAGTTTTTCGTTATGGAATTCCAAATTATTTCATGCTGTAATCGGTATTCATGTCTCTAAACAAACTGTTACTTTCGATTATGGGAAATAGTATGCCATAAATACATTATTTTGTAGATATCTAAAGTTTATGTTTTCATAATAATTGATTTTGATGTTTATAAAGAGGTGTTAATGTAGTTATTAAATAAATTTACTATATTTATTAAGATTACGTCAAATGGTGATTGATTAACTGATAACGGTAACCATTAAGTATCGCAGAGGCGCGTCCGACTCGGGAGTGCGTGCGGGCCAGACGGCCATTTGCAAAGATCGATTGTTTTGGCTGCTCGCAGTCACCTTAATTGCTGACGAATCAAGACGTCTCCAGACTTAGGGTTGACAACTTTTTCCGTCTCAAGAGACAACGATCATAAAGCTTAATAAACTTCCACTTTTAAATTTATACCACAAGTAGGTATCCCGTAAATCTTGATTAGCTTCTTCCATAGTAAATTTTACTAAGTACTGATTAATAACATCACGAAGTTTTAATGTTCAATGTCCGCGAACACGCTACAAGAAACTGCAAAAAATGATATCTATTTTTCTAAAACAAAAGGTAAGTATTTTATTTTCTTCTAGGGTATCTTATAGATACCAGACCACATTTGCCAGCAAGTATTCATTTTTTAAATTCTAAAGAGTTTCCCGCGTATTTATTAAAATATTGGACATGATTCCAATGTCCCGGCGGGACATTGAAATGTATGTATAAAATACCATATGGTCAAATTGTTAAATGTTTAAAAATCATTTAAATGTAAACGGTAAATGTTTATGTTACATTTTATCCCATTAAGTAAAATACTCGCGATACCATCCATACCATCTGGATGACTGGCGGTCCACCACCGTGAGATTTAAAAGAAGTTTTCTTCCTCGCACAACTTCCTTGTGGAATCGACTACCACCAGAGATTTTTCCGGACCGTTACGACTTAGGGGCCTTCAAGAAAAGAGCCGGCAACGCATCTGCAATTCCCCTGGTGTTCATGAACGGCGGTAATAATTGTCCATCAGGTGAGCCGTATGCTTGTTTGCCCCTCTCCAATAAAAAAAAAACTTTTATTTGATGATTATAAGGCAGTTTTAAAAAATGTGTATAAAGTTCGAGGAGATGTAGAGTCCGGCAACAAGTACTGGAGTAGCGCGACAACAGACCAAGTATTCAATTTTCTTTAAATATATTTTCAGTAAAACGTTACCCGTACAATAGTTTTTTCTCGTGCATCGTGAAGGCAGTTCACAAACATAAATTGCACAAGGACGAA